TACTACACACACACACACACACACACACACACACACACACACACACACACACACACACACACACACACTATCATTTACATGCTAACATGAGATAACCTAACTAAGAGTTGTGGGTGGACTACTGCAGACTCTCAAATTGCAAGGAATTATTTGCTTTTCTCTCCAGTCTCTCATGACTCCAGACCCTGGCTTTCATCCATACAATACCAAAATGACCTTTGTGAAGAGCTTACAAAACCTGAGATTGAAGTGATTTTAGAATGATTACTCGCATTTCCCATAAGGTGCAACTGTAATTCAGAGAAAATTTGTGTCATGTCAACATCAATTGAGTAAACTGGAGATTCTTTTGATCCAACACTGAACCCTGTAGTACCATTACTTTCACTAGAGAAAATACATGATCCTTAGCAGTTTCTTTGTTGATATCTGTGCTAGTAATGGGTAATCCATCCATCAAACTGAGATGGAACACTTCCTCTGAAATTTCTTTGGGTTGACAGGAGCTTGGGCACAGCGGGTGGGACAACCCATCAGCACTGTTGTGCTGAGTCCCTTTGCGGAATTGAACAGTATAGGAATGAGCTGAAAATAGCTATTCCCATTGTTGCATGTGAGCAGCAGCTAATGACAGAATTCCATGTTTTGGTCCAAAAACAAATTAAGTGGTAATGATTTGTCAGCAAAGTAAAATGTCAACCAATGAGATAGGTATGGAATTTCTGAATTCCAAAGATAAAGATAAAGCTGAAAGATTCTTGCTCTACTTGCACATAGTTCTTCTGAGGCATAGTGAGTGTTCATGAAGCAAAAGCAATTGGTTTCTAGATTCCATCAGGAAAACTGTGGGAAAGAACTGCACCTAGTCCATATGGGGAAGCATCACAGGCCAACTGAAATGGTAGCAAAGCATCCAAATGTGTAAAAACTTTGGCTGTCAACAGTTTCTGTGCTTGCTTAAATGCACAATCACACTCTTTAGTCCATTTTCATGTTTTCTTTGCTTGTAACAGTTTGTGTAAAAGTGCCAATACTGTCACCAGATTAGGCAGAAATTTACAGTAGTAGTTAAACAGTCCTAAGAATGAATGTAACTGTGACACATTCTCTGGCAGTGGCGCTTGAAGAACCACCTTCTCTTTCTCTGCTGATTTCCTTCAGCCCATGGCTTCAATTACATGTCTAGGTATTCAGCTGAAGTTTTGAAAAAACTCACATTTGTCTCTACGTACTCTCAGTCCAGGGTGTTCCAAACAATGCAAGACAGTGTCCAAATTTCAAGATGCTCTTCTTGATCCTTTCCTATAAGAAGAATGCCATCCAAATGGCACAGAATTCAATTCAGTCCCCGCCGAATCTCATTCATGGCTTTCTAAAACAGAGCAGGTACCAATATGATACCAAAAGTCAACCTGCTGTAACAAAATAAATAGAGCCCTGCACAGATACAAATTTATATCTGCGGATGTGGATATCTACGGATATAAATTGATATCTGCAGAACTGCAGGGCTCTCCCAGGAACCGCAGAGGCAAAAGGAGCAGAACGTGGGGGCCGCTGATCCCAGAAGCCAACGCCCCATGCTGGCAGTTCCTCCTTTCTTTTCTTTTCTTTGTTTTGTTTTTATCAACAAAGGATATCTGTCCTTATCCAATCAGAGGGTTTCTCATGTATACCCTGAAGGGTTTGAACTGAGTTGCACTGAGAGACCGGAAAGTGCGAATCAGAATTTGGTCAACAAGATAGTGCTGATGCCAAAGAGACAAAAGCTATTGTTAGGAAGGCAGAAATGGTGATCTGTTAACATGCCCTGTAGCTGGTGATAAACTCTTCAGGGCAATGACCATATTTATTTCTATCTGGATGTTTATGTTGTGTCCAACACAGTGGTATCTGATGACCTACCTGAGCTATTATTATAGTTTGTAGCTTACAGTGCTAAAGCCAGTGTCCATGCTAAGCAGTACTGAAACAGTAATGCATTTTGGTAATATTATCAAATTTATGTAACTGTATAATCATATACACACGTACATCAAAGAGGGCAATAAAAGTCCCATTACATGTAGTGGGTAAAATTTTCAAAAGCACCTAGGTAACATAGGAGAAATCCCATTGATTTTAAATGAAACAGACTCTTAAGTGCCTAAGTCATATTGAAAATGAATCTTAGGC